GTGTGTGTGTGTGTGTGTGTGTGTGTGTGTGTGTGTGTGTGTGTGTGATACATGATTTTTAGATGTGCGTATGCAAATTGAAACAAACTGTAATTATATTTAACTTTCAACTATAACTACTAAAACTAAATACGATAATCAGCATTAAATTAATTTATAATTAACCTGAAGTGGGAGTAGACGACAGCACAAAAGGGGGGAAAACTTAAATTTTAATAATGTAGATGTGTTTGTGTTTTTTTTTGTTTTATTTTTGTGCTTCTTACAAATTTAAGGATTTTCGGGTGGCTCATCTGGTGTTAGTAGACTTTGCGGTGCATTATCGAGATCGGCCAAAACGACCGACGGAAATTCTTCATGCACCGAATTCGAATTCGAATCTTCTTCGAGTACGTTCGGCGGCTGACGATTTCCCGGTAGGAATTCATCCAAATTTGGAATATATTCGACAGTGGCGTACTCAGTTGGTGGCGCCATTGATACTGTCTTCGGTATAGCTAATTCAGCAACCTCTTCGACAGCAACAGCCGATGATGGCACTAGCGCAACTGGAGGAGCCACAATTTTAGTTAACTCAGAAAGAACCTGCGGCGGTTGTAGTGGTTGCTCTTCTGTCTCCTTGAAAATATCGGCATCTGCTGTGGGCACCTTTTCGCCAACTGCTGCATCAATTTTGCCATCAAATGTTGTTTCCATTGTATTATTATTCAAATCAATCATATTCGGTGACTCTTTGGCTGTGTTCGGTGCGGAAGTTATGGTGGTTGTTGTCACTGCATATCCTTCAGCCATGTTTGGTTTACCCGCTACATGAATATGCTCAGCATCACCTGTTTCATTAGTTTCCAAAATGGGCGCTGTTGGCTTCGTCGGTGCTTCCAAAGTTTCGTCCTTTTCATTGGTTATAGGTTCGGGTGTAGTAGTTGTTGTGGTGGTCGTCGTAGTGGAACTTGTGGTTGGAGTGATTGCTGATAATGGCGCAATTATGATTGGCTTTAAAATCGGTTTACCTAGCGGCGCAATCAAAGGTGGCAACACGTCATCTGCATTATTCAATGGCTGATTGAGTAGCGGTACTATGACGACGGGTTTCGCATTGGCCAATACTTGTTGGCTCAATTGCGTGGGTATAATCAATGGATAGTTATTGACAAACAACATTGGCAAAACGGTGCAAACCTCTTGATCACTCTCGAAACACTGGGATTTGCCACGTATGCGCGTCTCTTGCTTCAGCATAATGGGGCATAGTTCGTTGAGGCGATTGTCACAGAGTATTGGATTGTCTGCAAGAATACATATGAGTATGGTTCGTTGAAAATTAAGAACTACAGAAGGATATGGAGCGTAACTCACCATCTAAATACAATTCCAATTTGCCAGGAACATTGTGATTCATGCACCTCGTTTGCGAAACTAATTCGGAAGAAATCGATGATATTTGGTTGCTCGTAAGGTTGGCTTGACACAGTACGGGTAAGCCATGGAAATCCTTTTCCAATCTTGTAATATTATTGTAGGCTGCCTTTAAAATTTTCAGATTTGGAAGGAATGTCTGGAAAGTAATAGAAGTAATTGAGATTGTTTAAAAATAATAATTCTCTGTAGATAAATTAAAAATTTAAATTTATATTCCTATTTTTTATTTTTCTATATATACATAAGTGCTATACTACGTAGATTCTACATATTTCATGTTTAAATTTAGAGTTTTCTCCTAATCTGATTGGCTGACACCATACATACACCGTTTTGTCTTAACCCTTACTTACTCGCTTGACTGCTGACTCCGTGCGACCACCACTATCGTAACATTTTTTGGCGGTGGCAAATTTTTATTTATTTTTATACCCGAGCGCACTTGTGCACAAGGGTATTATAACTTTGTTCACATA